TTAGAACAAAAGCCTGACAATATACAATGAGACTGCAAAACGTTCATAGAAAAATGAAATTAAATGATGGTGGAATTTTCCATGGACTTTCATATTGTTTTTGTGGATTATGGTATGCCAATTGATCTAGATGTCCCCTGAGACTGTGGTCCAAAGTACCCATGGCCAGTGATTCATTCCCTCAAGGTGTTTGGTTACGGCTAACGAATTGTGAAAACTCTGTCCCCTGTATGCTCTACTAAATCCTTGGATATATATTAGCAACACATACAAACGCATGTGTAGAAATATCCGGTCAAACTTGCATTCTGTGGGCGAAACCTCCCATTCGCCTTCTCGTATCTGTTCACCTTGCATGTCTACCTTATGTACTCAGTAGATGGGGAGGGGGAAGGGAAGGCTGTAAAAAAGTTCACAGAAAAATGCTATTAAAAGAAAATGGAATTCTTCCACAAACTTTTTGAAGAACCCAATATTGTTTGTTATTACTGTTACTTATAGCAGGATTGTGAATACAACCGTACCTTTGTTGTCTTTTACTCTTGCGTACTTACCAGCGTCTTCCTTTACTTTGGCCATGTTTTGCTGATCTTCTCCTTACTATTGCTTTTACTTGCACCCAAGTTAATACATGCTTCCTGTTAAGTGCCATTTAGTTGGTTCTGACTCATAATGATCCTGTATAGGGTTTCAAGGTGCAGCTGGTGGGCTTGAATTGCAAGCCCTGTGGTTAGCAATACAATGCTTATCCTATATAGCCACACCAGACTTTCCTCCTATTCCTGGTAATCATCAAAGAATGTTTCTCTCTGTATGTAAACAAACCTTTTCTTGACTTTTCTAGCCTAGTACAAATACAGTACTAATATTTGTCCTTTGAAATTGACTTATTAGACTTAGCATAGTGTCCTGTGAGTATAAGCATAATGGTTCCATACAATAAGCACTAGACTGCAAACCACAAGGTCTGCGGTTTAAACCCACCAGACACTCCATGGGAGAGAGATGAGGCTTTTTGCTCCCATATAAATTTAGAGCCTCAGAAACCCTACACAGGGTTGGTATGAGTCGGAATCAACTCGACAGCACTTAACAACAACAAAAACAATGCTCTGTAGAGTCCTCCATGTTATGAAGCATTCTGCAGATTCATAATTATTCTTTAATGTTGTGTAGCATTGTACTGTGTCTATGAACCATACATTATCCATTCATCCATTGATGGGCATCTGAGGTTGTTCCCATCTTCTTGCTATTGTGAACAATGCTGCAAGGAACATGGGTGTGCATATATCTATTCGTGTTACAGTTCTGGTTTCTCTAGGCTATATATCTAATAGTGGCTTGCCGGATCATATAGTATGTCTTTTAGCAACTTTTTAAGTAAGCGCCATACGATTTTGCAGTGTTTGTACCATTTTACAGTTCCACCAACAGTTGAAATCAACTTGATGGTTGTGGGGGGAGGGGAGCTGGTTTTTTGGTATTACTGCCAGGGTGAAATGATACCTTATTGTTGTTTTGATTTGTAGCTCTCTAATGGAGCCCTGAAGGAGCTCTGGTAGCGTAGTGGTTACAAGTTGGGTTGCTAACCGCAAGGTCAGCAGTTCGAAACTACTAGCTGTTTGCAGGAGAAAGATGAGGCTTTCCTGCTCCCGTAAAGACTTACAGCCTCAGAAACCCTGTACAGGGTCACTATGAGTCGGAACCGACTCCACGGCACATAACAACAACAATAGAGCCCTTGGAGTCCTAGTGGGGCACTGCGGGGTTAATGCACGGGACTACAAGGTCGGTTTGAACTCCAAGGTTGGCAGTTCAAGCTCACCAGCCGCTCCTCAGAAACCCTCTACAGGGCCAAGGTTGGAAATGACTCAACAACACTTGACAATAACAATGGGATAAGCACTGAATTGCTAGCCATAAAGGTCAGTGGTTCTAAACCACCAGCTGCTCCTCAGAGGTTACTATGAGTCAGAACCGACTCAAGGGCACTTGATAACAAATAGCAACTAGGACTGTGAGCACTGCTTCACGGATCTGTTGACCATCTGTATATCTTCTATGGTGACATTTCTGCTTATGCTCTCTATTTTTTTATTAAATTGACTTTTTCTTGTTGAGGTATGTTGTAGCATTCTTTCACAAATTAGTTCCTTGTCCAGTAACTGGTTTTTAACTGGTATTCTTTTATAATATGTAAATAGGGCTGGTGTCAACCTTTAATTCATTCTTGAAAACAATAGTCACTCAACCCAAAGTAAAGTTAAAAAGTAATACGTTGCATACATGAGCCCTGGATATCCACAGATAAATGTAAAAACCTTCCCTAAAAGCCGAGACTGTAAATTCCAAAAAGGCAAAGTTTTTCGCCCCTGCAAAAAAAAAAAAAAAAGCTAAAGAGGATAGGGAGAAACACTGTTAACTGATGATGTATGGAGGGGATTATAATCAATGTAATGAAACAAGTCATATGAATGGTTGAATGTGAAACTGATGAGGTGCCCTGTAAACTTTCACTCAATCAACAATAAAAATCTTAAAAAAAA